AGCAAGCACAAAGGCACGTGTTTCTCTTCATGTCACTCTGTATGTTCTGCTTAGTATTAAATTAAAGAAGACCAGGCTCTTCAAATACAAGAACTTCTTATGCCCCAAATGTTCCAGGCTGAGTGTCACAAGTGCAAACAGGAAGAACATTAAACTCACTATACTTAAGCTTTTCCCGTTTACATGTTCCTTTGGTGAACAAGCAACTCGGCAGCCTATGGTGGAGAGTAGACTGATGTGGCGCGGGCACATGAGCATACATGGAAATGTCCCAGGTGTCCAACACTGTGGGGTATTTTTGGTGGGACTCCTGTGATCAGAATCTCTCACAGGTTTGGGCCATGTTCAACTGACAACAAATACAGCATCCACTTGACCTTGACTCAGTTTCCAGTCTCTCATGGCCAACATGAAGGCTGGCAGATAGAACAAATGCCGTCAGGACTTTGATCTGCAACGTCACCTCATCCAAGCAAAAATACTCCCATCCAGAGACACTAACAACTGATAAATCCAGTTGTTCAAACTCTCTGACTACACATAAAACTCAAGGTAGCTTTGGATGGAAGATGATGCTGGTTTGCAGCTCTCCAGGGCTAAAACCAGACCCAAGTTAATCCAACAACCCAGGGCTTACTTGAGTGAGAGAAGTGCCACGAGACAAAGGTTGTGTGTGACTGGGGCCTCCAGGGACAGATGGGGTTAGTGACTTGCAGAATGCTTTGTGGTACCGGAAAGTCACTTTATTCAGGAAAGGGAAAAAAAAAATCCCACCTTTCCTCTGCATGTCAGGCAGAGATCTCTTTTGTCATCTGGGCTGCAGATGAGAGCTCTGATCCTGTCCCCTCCTGCACAGAGATAATGCTCCAGTTCAGTTCTCCTCCTGCCACAGCTGGGACATGCTAAAATCTGCCTCTGATGTACTGTGATCAGCTTTATGCTCCTTCTTTGAGACGTAAATCCCATTTCCATAAAGAAATATAACACACTGCTGTAGCTCCAGCAATGTTACCTGGACTGATAGCATATTCACCATGCAGGCTCTGGTGATAGACCTGGCTTCGTGTTCAACACCTCTTACAGCACAGATCTTAGATACAAAATCAACTCTGATCGTGATAGGACTGAAGAAATGAAGAAGCAGAATAAGCATCCAGCAAAACCAGTATATATAGTCTTCCCAGACAGTAAATATACATAAAAACAATCCCGTCTCTGTAAAACTGTAATCCAAGTACTGCAAAACAAGGGAAAAAAAACCCCCAAAACCCAGTGATTTCTCTCTCTGTCCTCATTTATAGCCAAGCTTTTACAAAAATCTCATGTACTACAACCCTCCAGAGGAAGGAACAGCCAGCAAAATGTGAATTAACTTCTAGTTCGTGTTGCTTGTAAAAGGTTTAGAGAAGAGGAACAACTTTCTGTGAGGATTTAAACTGAAGGAGACAAAGAGGCTGTATGACCTGCATTATCAGTGGAATTTCTCCCTGCAGAAGAAACAAGCAGGCTTTTACCATGTCCGAGCAGAAAAAGCCATCATTAACCAGATGTCAGTTTTGAGGCATTACTTTAACAGGGTTGCTCAGTGAGAGAGCACACAGATTTTACGCTGCACTAGATCTTCCTGTTTGGATTCTGGTGTAGGGCATGGAAAAATACATGTGTGTACAGGCCCTTGTGCAGGTTGGGTTTTCTCAAAGCATAGGTAGGACAACTGGGCTAGAGCACTGCCTTTGCTAGCGACCTAAGCTGTAACACTGCTCCTTAGTGTGATGTTAAAAGCCCTCCTGCCCTGCTGCAAAGTAGCACTGGTGTGTCCATGTCCTCTCAGTCACTGAGCTGACTATGAAACACCCATGCCTAATAACCATCTTTCTACACGGCACATTGCAGCGCCCCCATCACTCCAGGTCTGAGATCCTTTCTCATGCAATCAATGGCACTGGAAAACTATTCAGTGACTTGTCAGGACTTTGCCAATTTTTATGTTCCCTGAATCAATGTCTGAAGGGTGAACTTTCTGGAAATTTGGTTCCAGGAAGGATTTTGGGGTAGGAAGTGTGCCAATAATTATTTTTGAAAATTTGTATTACGTAAAATAGGAATGTGATACAGACTGGATCACTGCTTCATCCCTGGCAGTGTTCAAGGCCAGGTTGCACGGGGCGACATGATCTGGTGGAAGGTGTCTCTGCCCATGGCAGTGGGTTGGAATTGGATGATCTTAAGGCCATTTCCAACCCAAACCACTCTATGATTCTATCACCTTAAGCAATAGGATGCAGAAAATGCCCCTTCTGTGTCATGGATCTGTTTCTTGGAGTAGTTTGTCCTAAGTCTATCGGACTGGGTTTAGCAAATCTTCCACATCTTTGGCTTATCACTTCATGGAATAAGGTGAGTGGTACCATACCCAACAGACACAATGCAATTTGATTGATGGCCCATCAGCTCCTTTCCTTCTCACTCTTCAAGTGCCCTCTGCCAGCTGTAAACCCCCCACACTATTTAGCTCCTCAAGGGCACACAGTCTGTGATAATGTTTTAGACCGCCTTCAGCATAAAGATGCATCTGTACCATGACACAATTAACAACTGCTAAATAAGAGGCATCCGCAAAAACTTAGTTTAAAAAGGCTTGGCAATAGGCTACATGCAGCCTGTGTATCAGTATCAGTCCTATTTTGGCACAGACCTCTATTATCTTCAAAGGGAATTGTGCTTCAGAGCAGGTCAACCTTGTAAGAAATGTCAGCAGCTGTCAGGACAACTCCCAGCTCCACATCTGGCACCTCTGCCATCCTTCAAACACACAGCAGATTAGGCTCTGTCAGACTTCCTGCAGCATCTCCCTCTCACTTTTCCACCACCTTTTTTGTATCCTCTAGACCACACTGAATTCAACTTACTGAAAACATGCTGGTGTGCCTTCTGACCATCCACTCTTGGTGGGATTGCTGTTCACCACCTCTCCTTTTATAGCCTGTAGAAGTTAATTCCTTATCTTGATTCTTGCCTGAATCACCAAGCGACATCTACAATTCACTTCCTCCTGCAAGAGCAAATACCAGTGGTAACAGCAATAAACACTGTGGCTGCTGCTCAGCCCTGGAGTGACTGCAGCTTTTGTTTAAAGCACCGTAGGGCTGCTGAGCTTACATCTCTCTTCATCCTTGTAAATGTTAAAACTTTTTATTTACACCAAACCTGTCACCTTTCCCCCAAAGCAAAACTCTGTTAAAATGGCTCCACAGGCTGTGTTCCACTTTCATACAGAGAAAAAAAAGCAGGACTGTGCTGCAGTTTTTACTTTAAAGGATCTCTTTCACAGTCCTTTCAGGGACTTCTGAACAGGAGGTTTGTGAATTAATAACAACATATATGTCAGGCAGACACTGGAATTCAAGTTATTTTAACTCCAACTAAAGGCCTGTGTTTGAATGTCTGAATGCATTCCTTTGTGGCTGAGACTTTTTGAGTCTTAAAACTGTAAAGACCATCTCTTCATTATAAATATTCCATTTCTTAGTCATTCTTGTGTCAAAGGACTGCTGCAGAGAAAACCTGCAGGAGTGTGGTCCAGCAGGAAGCAGAAATCAGGAATGTTTTGTTGCAGAAGTAGGGACATGTAGAGCCGAATCTGCTTGCTGAGCCTGGCATCTCTGTTGTGTACCTACATCTCTGGTACCAAAAATGCTTAAAGCCAAAATGAATATTAGTATTGCTTAGCTAGTACTCACACTGCAATGTGATTTGTCTTGATCCTAGTTCTTAGGATCTAGTGGACGTATTTACTGTTAAGTGGGAGATTTTTGTGGGTTTCCTTCTAGTCTAATACAGAGTCTGGATGACTGCTGGGCTGGAGGGTTAACAGACCTCTGTATTTGCCCAGCTAGTTGTTACTGCCAACTTCTTAACTGTCAGAATGGCTCAGGAATGGCTGGCTTATTGGACTACTTAGTTTAATGGCTATTAAAGACATTCTTGCACAATGAACCCTGTAATTGTTCCTTTGGATGTTGTTTTTTCAAGTACTTGCTAACTAAAATGAACACTTCCACGTAGATGTAACAGCAAGGCAGTGTAACAAACGAAATGGTTGAAATGAGGCATGAGAATGGCTTTGTGTTTTATGACAGCCTGACCGACTTTTAGAAACATGACAGCTATTTCCACCTAATGAACCCCTCAGAAAAAGAATCCTGATTCAAGTTTTATCACACAGGCACTTTAAGATGCAGGAGTAGAGGCAAAAAGCAGCTGTCTGCCTTCCCCACTGCTGCATTTCTAGCAGCAGACTCAACCCTTTCTAGAATCCCCTGAGGAAGTCTCTGAGATGGCTCACATGTAGGAAGTAACTTCCATTCTATTCTGTGCAGAAAAAACTGCCACACTTTGCTAGAGCTCAACCTCTCATGTACGAGCCAACACAAATATGCCAGTGAGGAAGGAGGATCCTGGCTAGGCTCGGCTAAATAATCTGACCTTTTTCTTGGCTTGGCTCTGAAAGGTACGTGAAATGTGTCAAGCCACCCATTCTGGCTACCTGCTGTTCACAAGCGCATTGGGCAGTGCTAAAGAAATCCTTTTTTAAATCTACCCTCTGTAGTAACATTTAGTTACAACTTAAAATCACAGAATGGTTAGAGTTGGAAGGGACCTTAAAGATCATCCAGTTCCAACCCCCCTGCCATGGATAGGGACACCATGTCCCTGTTAAAGGTTAGTTCGTGGCAGGGTACCCAATCATGAGATGTAGGGAGCAAAAACTGACTGAAGTATATCCAACATTTGGTGCAACACATGGTCAGGACAGTTTTTTAGTCCTGGAATCATATTTATGCATCTGCACTTAGCCAAGCCAACCTTCCAAGAGGATATATTCCCAAGGCTAAGACTAAACCCCATGCACTTCGTATCATTTAGATTCTGTTACAATCATTTAGTTGTTCGGTGCTACCTTCTCATTCTCCCAGAGAACATGGACAAACAGCACCTTACCATTACTCCATAAGAATCTTTAATTCTGCACATTTCTCCACATTGAAATGAAGATTTAACAGCAATCTATTGTAACAACATTTCTTCCCCTCTGTTACATGACATTTAAATAACCATAACTGATGTTTTTGAGTTGGGTTCATCTTGAAAGATTCCACTTCCCTTTTACGGCCCAGCAGAGGCTCCACTATTCTTGCACTAAGAAGTTGATAAGGGCAGTTCTGGGAGACAGAAAGGCCTTTTGAATGGTTCGCCCCTGGAGATGCTTGGCTCCAAGTTCACTTTGAAGAACTAGCTCATGGACTTCTTCAAAATTGCGGGCTGCTTGCTGAGGCACAAAAACTTTGCCACAAGCTTTGTTATTGATCTGAAAGAGAGAGACATGAAAATGAGAAACAAACCCACGAGTTACTAGAATGGTTTACGTCATTTCGATTCCTGAACCCAATCCATCTCATTACACAGGAAAGCGGATCAAACTCTCTTTCCTCTACCACCAAACTTTCCAAGGAGAGGATAACATTCTCCAGAGCCCCTGTCCAACTACCATAAGATAAGAGAATGAAACTCTGACTCACGATACTCAAGGAAAACTGAAGAAGTGGCCATAGGAAGCCTTAGTTTTGCAGATAGCAAGCAGCATGGGACTATGCAATGCAGCAATCTTGTAAGTTTAAAAAATGTGATAGTTATGCAAGCTGAATAATGAGAGTGAACACAGGGGTTTGTCAGGTGGGTATCTTGGTTGGACATACTTCTAGGCTGCAATCTGGATTCTTCCCAGCTGAGTGATTCCTTACAGAGATCCAAATGCAAGATTTATTAAAATGTTTGGCTAAAAAGATACCAGAAAGATTCATCATTGCTTGTTTTTGCAAAGCCAGGCTTTAACTCATTATACATTGCATTTGTACTAAATGCATGACTCATTAAACTAACACTGACCACAAAGATGACAACCACTCATAAAATAATGCTTTCCTCTGCGCGGCTGGTTTTCACAGCAGCTTCCCTACTGGTTTTGCATCCGCAGGGCAGAATCACATACGGAAAACTGAGTAAGGCTTTCAATGGGAATCACCTTAATGTATAAAATGGTCTTAGGAATCCTTTCTGTCATCCATTAAGGGCAGATAGAGCACAGAGACTACAGAGCTTTACTGAGTACCTTTCTGGAACGGGCATAAAGTTCATGATTACAAAAGCTTTCAGTTGTATATGGAGTACTTGCAAAGGATTAATGAACAGAATAGCAACTCAATGATGTAGCAAATAAAAGAATTTGAAATTTTTAACCCAATTAAATTACTTGTACAAAAACCTGCTGCACGTACTGCAGATCTTCGACTTCCAGTATTACTACAATGGGTTTTCAGTCATCTGAAAGGAGCATACATTGCTTCATAGAGCTTGAACATAAAAATACACACAGCTTGGATTACACCTGGATTTTAGCCAGGATACATGTATGCAACATACCATGAATGAGAGAGACCTACCTCACTACCTAGTTTGTATTTTATTGAAAAAAACAATAACCTGTCCAATCCTCTGGCAGACGAAGTCGGGACAGATTTTTAAGGAACAAGATGAAGTCTCAGATGCAGCTGGGATGAGTCATTTTTGGTTTTTGACTAGACTTAGCATTAACTTGAGTGATAATGTAGGTAGGCTTTTAGCTATTCCTAAATGCATCTGTAACATGGAACCATAAAAGGCTGTCTGTCTCAAACTTTGCCTTTAGCACCTGGTGCAAAGTAAATCCCTTTGAAAATCACAGAAGAGTTCATTTTAAAAGCTTTTGTGAAAAATAAATACAAGTAGTTCTTTTTGACAGGGCACTTCAGGGGAGAAATGCATTCCACAGGAAAAAGAAAACAGTAAAATCCAAACAGATAGAGGCTTAGTGATAATATAAAGCACACTTGTCAGCTTGCTGCTAGGACACACGGTCTGCAGTTCAAAACTATGCCTGCTGAGTTAAAATGTTATTCACTGTCCATGATGTAAATGGATGTTGGCCAGATGAAACTTGCCACACTAGCCTGTTCGGTGCTGTTCTCAACAGAAAAGCCAAGAGGTCTAAATCAACTTAGTAAAGAAGTGACTGGGTGACCTGACACTGTGAATCTTCCCACAGCATCTCTCCTGACCTTCCCACATCATGCTGTGATTCTATCAAATGCCAGGCTGGTGATGATTACAATATGTGTTTGCAGCATGGCTTTCATTATATCATGATATGTAGGTATCATGACGCAAATGTATTAACACCATTCTTAAAATAAGCATCTGCAGATTTAATTCGCACTGAGTGTAGCAAGCTTCCTATTCACATATTGTTTTGAGTAGTTAGATTGTCAGCAGGATATCTTTTGCTGTGCTTCCATCTCTCTTCTGCATAACCTTCAGCAGCTCCAGGTCAAAGTGCCAGCACGAGAAACTTGGGTGCTGGCAGCCTTGTTTCTCTGACAAAACATGGCAAACTGCAAGAGGAGAAATAAATGATGCTTGGGTCCTTTCTTCCCCTGAGGAAGGAAACAGTTGCTTATTCTTTTCTTCTTTTTTTAAAGGTTATTTTCTAACTATTTGACATTTTAGACTATTTTGGATCTAGAGGGAACTAGAGGGGTTATCAAGGAAGAAATGAAATCACAAAAGACCGAAAAATAAGCACCTGGAGGCTGCAGAGGAAAAAAGGGTTTAGTTCAACTCTAATATTTTTTTACCACTGATGCGTAATCCATCTGAAAAGTACAAAGGAAAATAAGTATCTGTGAACTTTCAGGCCTTCCTCATATGCCAAATCAAGAAAAATGACACCAACTATTTTTTGCTTTATGAAAACATCAGTTCTGAGACCACAGTTGTAAGACAGAAGCCGCTAACAGTCCTGCACCACCTAGAAAATGTGAGGAATGCTTGTCATTTCATCCCGTGCTTGTTCATAGGACGAAATGCACACTGCACCCAGGCCAGATTTTTCCCAGCCTTAACAATATATAGTACAATTAAAAAGACTCAACTTTGCAATAACATTTAGAGCAACAGATACCAGGCATATGCAGTAAATTAAAAAGTCTGCCTTCCAGGCAATCTGTATTCTACCGGCCAAGGATGCAGAGACTTGGTTGCTTTTGCCGCTTTGGGTTAAATATGGAAAGACATAACTCCAGCACAGACAGGAAATAATGAAGTATATTGTGTCAAGAGAAATAAAACCAGAATGTCTCAGCAGGCAAATCTCTGGCAGCCTGAAGCAGTTTGATTTCTCAAGAAGAATAGGGTTGTGGCCCAAAGACTCAGTTTGACTGTGCAGCCTTGTGAAGAGACACTGCCTCTTTACAACTGAGCAATTCCTCCATTTGTCAAGTGTTTCTTGGTTTAATGAGGGCAATTTATTTTTGTAGCCATACAAAAACCTACAGTGGCAACAAGACTTTTAAATACTCACATTTATGATTTCCCCCTGCTCCTCTGTATTCCCCTTTTGCCCTACTCTTACAGTAGAAAGCCAGGGATACACCCTAGGCACTGTTTTAAAGAATTATTGCCAGTTTGGAAAAGGAACTTGTCTCTCTGGTCTTCCAGTCCCTGCTTTCTCAGAGCTAAGGAAGATGTTTATCTACATCATGTATGACTTAGAACACAGGGATTGCTTTTTCTCTTATTACAAGACTTCTCCACAAGGCTATCCTTTGACAAAGTCAACCAGGAAAAGAAACAAAACATAATTTTCATAATTGTTGTTTAAAGCAAAATTCATTTTTATTTTTCTGGTTCCTATTTGTGAGAAGGAAGTTTTAATGTCAGCATAAAAATAGCAGTGAAATGTGTAGACATTTTCATGTTTGGCTCGAGAGTCTTAAAAACACCGAGTTCAGAGTTTTCCCTATATTGCTGAAGTTTTTATTTTAAAGATATATGTAATAACATGTTTGCTTTACCCACAATTGCAAAGAAGTTTCTATAATTACACAATTTCTCATTCATGCCTTCCTTATAAACTGGATACTGAAATTTAAGACATTTGCTAGCTGTGCTTGAAGGTGAAGGTTTATTTTAAGCTTGAGGAAAATTATTATATACCTCAGTGAAGATTTCTACTGGTATAAATGAATAGAAGGAGAGAAGGAAAGCAATAAACCCACAGTGAATATTAGGCTAAGTCTGCTTTTAATCCCAGTCGATACTTGAGTCTACCTCCTTGGTTTGGGAAAAGATGTCAATTAAAAATTTCCTCCAAAAATACATACACTGTGACCTCAGCTAAAGATGTATGTTGAATGTTAGACAAAATTCAGTGTTTTAGCAGCATTTCTCATTCTGATCAAGTGGACTGACAGAGAGATGTGGCAAGATATGGAATTATTTGCAAAGATACTCTGATTAAGGAAATCTACAGCAACATGACTTCCCCTAAATCCAACCAATCTCTTTCCTCCTCAAAAACCCAAGCTGAACAATAATAACCTAACTGCCTTACTCCTACCCAAGGGAGCTAACAGAATAAATGCATTATTTCTGTTCCTCTTACACACACAGGATGTGCAGTTTTACAGGACCAAATGACATTTCTTGTAAAGGCTCCTTTTCATTCAGTGTCTGCACAGTATATTAAAGGTTATTCTTTGGTGAACAGTCAAAAAGGCATGAGTCCTGCAGATCTAACAGTGTGCAACTATTTATTTACAGACTTTCGTAATATGCCTGAGCATGCAGAACTTACAGAATAGAATTACAGAATCACCTGGGTTGGAAAAGACCTTAAGATCTTCAAGTCCAACCTTTACTCCAGGACTGCCAAGGCCACCACAAAACCACGTCACTAAACCTGAAGGCAAGTTGACCAAGAGTCAGTTGATGGAAGGGCTGAGACACTACTCATGGATACCACGTGCTTGGTTTGAGGTAGCCCCTCTTACACCCACAGTGGCACTTGCTGCTGCTGTGCACAGTCTAATGGTAAAGCTTTATGATGCCTGGGAGCTTGCTGAATACAGACTAGTTAACCAGAGACGTAGGAAAATGACAATAAACTACACTGTGCATGTACATGTATGTTGGAAAATTACAGGTTAACTAAATGTAGTTATGTATCTACACTTCTACTGAACTGCTGGCTTTTTCCCTAGACCACAATGGTCTTAGAGCTTAAGGGGAAACTGGAATGCAGTTACAATGTTACCAAAGATACCTGGTTTTCCTCAATCTCATTCCTGGAATGTGGCAGAAATTCATCCCAAGGCAGACAGGAAACATCATTTGGCAAAAATGACAGCAACTTAACCCAGCTTAAGTATACATTTTTGTACAGGGCCATTTTCGCCCTGTCAGGCAAAAAATCTGGAGGGACTTGTATTTGATCATACTTTTGACTGTACCGTCCTTCCCACAGTTGTTCATTGGTCAGATCTCCACAGGCACTGATATGCAGTCACTCAAAAAGATTTAGATTTAGGTCATCTCCCTTCCAGACTTACTACATTGTTTAGGAAACCATTTTAATTACTCAGCACAATGGCAATTGCAGCTTCTAGTACCTCTGGAGCCATCTAAGAAGGGAACTGACTTCCACAAGAGCTTGTAAAGCACTAGTTGGCCACCACTGAAACAGATAAAAATGCTCTTACCAGAACTGACATCTCCACAACATCTGACGGCTGAAGGTACTCTGGGTCTACTTTGGGCCAAGACTGATGCAGAACATCAACATCCCAGTGATGATGAGAACAAAGTTTATTCTGCATGTGTGCCAAACCTGGAGAAGGAAACCAGTCGAACATTCAGCTGTACTGTAATCAGAACATTCAATTTGTTTGACAAATAACATCAGAATAAAGTTGACTTTAAAAGCACGTCCCTGAGGAAGAAATAACACTGTTTAGATCAGCATACAGCATGTTGTAAACAGAAAGACAGGTATTTTGGAAGTTCTTGTTTCATACCAGGCATAGGGATGCTAACATGAATGCCGTGGGCACATTTTCAGTTTGGACTAGTGCTCCATAACTTTGCCAAAAGCTCAGAAGACCAGTGTTTGTGATTTTAAGTTGTAACACTGTAACACAGGCTGACCTCTCCTTCCAGAAGTCAATTATAATACTGAGGTTTTTCTTCAATAACACTGCCAGTTTGATTAAAATTTTACTAACACCTCAATCAAAATGCTGAACAATTATGGCTTATTATTTCCTCATCTGTAATATGCCGCGTAGCTTCTAAGTTTTTAAGTATCTTTTCTCACAAATTGAAGGTGCTACATTACAATACCTTGCAGTTTGCTTTTCTTCTTACACGTGCATTCTGAAACACTTAATCTTTTGATTTTATATAAAACTCCTAAAATAGTATAAGTGATCTCCTTATATTAAATAGGCTTTGCTCTCCCTGAGACAATTCATTCCTAATTTAAGTAATAGAATAGGATGCAATTAATTCTGAAGCTGCATTCTTTAGCTGAATAAAAGCTTCTAAGTGGGGTCTATGTTGCTGTTTACTCCAGCTGTAGGACAAAATAAAAAGATTCCACTTAAGAGGCTGCCAAATATGTTCAGTACTGATGAGGATTACTGTTGTGATTCTCACAAAGGCAAAGGATTTTAAAATGAAAACCATTCTCTGCATAGGAATAAAAAAACCTTTCATAAGCACATGCTTCATTCAGAACTGCAAAAAGTATGTGAAGTCTCATCTGGTTTAGGGAAAATCCAGCAAGAATGTAAAGAAAACCCATCAACAGAAGATTCATTGTTGAGACTGAGGTACCTGAAGCTGTTCAAAACACAGCACAATGGCAGACATAGGAGCAAAACCAACCCATGCATAATACATAACATGAATGTAGCTGGATTGTTTAGACTAATACAGTGAATAACAGCAATCAGGAACACAAGGTGAAAGCAATTTTCTCCAGAAAATCCTGCCAGATTTTTGTCAGCACTCTTTCAGACAAAGCACTTTGGTGAGATGACGCACAACCTTGCTATTTGCTGAATGATTCAGAAAGGGGCAGTGGGATGCACCGAGGCAACCTGACAAGCAAGAACGTGCACATTTCCTGAGAAAACAGCTAAGCCACAATCTTATTAGATAAATAACTGAGTAAAACACTTCAGTGGATCTAGTTCTGTGTATTTTGTTTTCCTCTTGTAGCAGTAGGTCAAGAACTTAAAGAGCAAAAGATAGGAACCCAAGCACTGGTGATTCATTATCACATTGACTTTAAAGACAACAGCTGCTAGCTTCTTCCCTTTTCGGCTTTGAACATCCAGATGAGCTCATTTCTTTCCAACTGATCACATGCCTTGTGGCAGAAGCATACATACTGGCCACTCCTTATTTTCCTGTTGAAGTGGATTCTTCTAACTCTTTAAACCCCATGTTCTGATATAAGAGCTTCTAGCCATGACAGCAAAGCCAGGGTCGCTTTTAATCCCTGTGGAGGCTGTCAGTCCTAATAAAACTTACTAATAGAAAAAATTACAATGTATTCTGAAGCAGATAAAGTGTGACTAAGCACAATGTTGATCTTTAGGTTCATTTTCTTGCTACAAAGTGAGCTCATCCATGTTAAAAAAAAAAAAGTGCAAAAGTCAACAGAACGAGTTTCAGAAAACAGAGGTTGACAGGAAACCACAATGAAGGTGTTAGTTATGTTGCCTGCTTGGCTTCCTGCCTTAATTCACATTTTGTGAGCTGTAAGTCACAGAAAATGTAATGATTTGGGCTGTATTTTCAAAACAAACACAAACACAAGACCAGAAATTTCACTGCCATGATTCAGAGTGGTGGTGGTCCACTTGCCAGGACCCAGGCAGAACTCTCCTCCAGCCTTCCCACTTGATTCTGAGACACTACAGCAAAGCACTGTTTCAGAAGTTAAAAACTGACCATTTCACAGATTTTTATTGTGAAAACATTAAACCCCTATTTGACTGTCCTATTGTACTGGAAAAGTGCCTAGTGAAGTGCACATTATAAAGCAGTGTGCAGCTTGCTTTATCTTTTTTTGATGCGTTTTGCTTTTATGGCTATAAATTTTCTTGCAGATAGAGTATAGAAAGCCAACTGAGTACATTTTAACTTACTGTAAGATGTTTATTTATACGTACACATCTGTACAGCCATACAGGACAGCTCAAAGGCAATACTTGTGCTCAGTCTGAAGCCCTGATCCTGCTATTGGATCTGCTTCAATTCACTTTTACTGCCTAGCAAGCTCCGATGTAATTATGGAGTAAACTCATTAAGCACCAGCAGGGAGAGGTTAACAAAGCAAAAGAGGCAAGGAGGATGGAAGTCTCAATGGGCAATAAAAGGAAGTTAATGAAGGCATCTGAAGCAATGCCAGTGTCAGAGTTTAGGACTAGGGATTTTCTAATAGGAGATCAGAGGAAGCAGTATAGAGTGAGTATAAGGGTGCATTATTCAGATGCTGATGGTAACTTTTGGATTTAGCTCAAGTAAAAATCCACCATGCCAGCAGACAAGCAGTAAAGTTTTTATAAAGCTCAGAGCAGGAGAGTGTAAGGGTAAGTGCAGATGCCTTTGCAGTCTCTGTTACTGTGTTATTTTATATTCTTCTTTACTATTTAACGAATCTTCCTATTTGACGGTAACATATCCAAAATACCCTTCTGCAGCCCAGGAGGAATCAGTCTGTCAGTCATATGTGAAATGGTCTGCAGGCTCAAAGAACAGTAACAACTGTCTCCAGACAGCTCTGAGAAAAACTCCATTATACTACTGGTATAGTAGTACAGAACCGGGTTGTGAAAAGCCCAACCATTCAAACTCTAAAATGTGTTTCCAATTCAGCAAACTTCACATGAATTCTTTTAAGGTTTGGAAAGTGATCTGCCTTCCTCTCTTTGTATGAACTTACTGTCCTTCATTGTGGGTTATTACTCTTGGAGGAAATAAAGAATTTTTCATTAGTTCCAAATTGTGTTTTTTCTTGGGTTCATGAAAGGGAATTTCTGCATTCAGCTTTTCAATTAAAAGCTTCAGCATCAATTAGCTTCTACTCAGCTCTATTCTTTACAGAAGCCTTCTTGAGCAAGGACTGAATTCAGGCAAATCCTTGCAAAAGAGCTATTGCAGTGCGAGTTAACATGTTGCTAAGAGAACTTACACCATTACAGATTCCAATAATTATGTTTCATTTCAATATACCTTAAGATGTGTTTATCATCAGGGTATATCTTTCATGTGCTATCTCTAATAAAAATGTAACAACTCACAATAAGCAGTTTCATATCCTTGTCTGGACAGCAAAATCCTGTACTACTACAAACTAAAAACAAAAAACCTCTTAAATGGTGTCTGTATATTCCTCAGATACAAGGTTTCAGGAAGGAAACAGATTTCCTCATCCTGTTAGTGTTCATAAACTGCCAAGATATCAGCCGGATGAACTCTTCCCACACTGAGGGGCTACAGTCGCTTTGTATGTTATTAAGCGATAAACCGGTGTATTCACTGCACAATAAAAGACCATTAGGTTGACACACCAAAACACTGTTCCTCCTCTAAGTAGGAGAAAGAACTCCTTCACACACAAAATATGAAAGCATTGGGTTACTATTGTTCAGCTGCTGAAAGGTGAGGCACTTATCAAACAGCATTCAAGCAGCTTTTCCTTCACCCAAACTGGAAGTATTCACTGCCAATACTGAAGTACGCTCTTCAACCAGCTCACAAAGAGACCAAACTCATCATTTCTACCTGATGCATGAAAACAGGATGGTCATATATAAACTAAACCCCATGGGAGAATAATTCTTCAGCTGCAGAAGAAGAAAAAAATGCTGTCCCTTGATTCTATCTAATTTTACTTCAACTATACTTAAAAGTTGCATGTTACATCAGAAGCATCCTTGGCGTTTCAAACAGCAATTCTGAGTTTGCAAAGTTTATTGACATACTAACAAAGAAAACACAGTGAACTAAAAAGACACAATTTAAAATGAACTCTGATGCAACTCTTACAAAGCAGAATAATGGTATTGCTATCAAAATTACTTACAGCACTAATGCTAGTCATTACTTCAAATGTCAAGCAAAGCATCTTTAACACTCTAAAATATCCTTTGTAATTTGCCTAATACTTTCATTAGCTGGTAACCGTTCAGACCGATCTGAAGCTAAATCCAGCCATAAGGAACATTTTTTGCTAACCAAGAAGATATCTGTGTACATATTTATACACTTAGCCAAGTTTTAATTTGTACAAGCTATTGCATTACAAAACACAGATTTGCTTATTTTCTTTTTACATTTTGTTGTGATCTGTGTCAAATAGCTTTTAGGTTGAAACGTAAACCAAGTAAATAAAATATACTTAAATATAAATACATTCAGAATGCAAATATTTAAGACAATCTGTCAGATACTTAAAATTTATCATATCACATTTTGCAGGTAAATGTTGGGGTGTTTTTTTTGAGTGAAGGAAAACATTTAATGTAAGTACCGAATAAAACCAGCAGTATCGGATATTTTTGGACATGAGAGCCTTCAAGATTTTAATATTTATAAATGCTAACCTCTTTGCCTAGCTTTTTATTCCAAAGCTAGAAAAGGAAGGAAGGTCGGTTGATTTTTTTTTTCCCCAATTTCCATAAGAACGGTCATTTAAACTGCAAAAACTACCATTTGCACCAGCAGAAGAGGTTCCAGTTGTCAGAAGTAATGTTATTACCTCTACAAAGCCTCATTCCAGGTGCTCAGCCAGAAAATTCTATAGTTCTGTCTTTTCAAATCTTTGGCTGAACTAAGTAATCCAATACGTGAAGTCAGGGTCTTACTGCAGGTTGTCATTATTTCACATTGATTTTTAAATTCTGTTGTACTTTCTACTTCAGTGTTTCTTGACTATAATCAGTGATCAGAAAAGCATAAAAGGCGAGGTTATGATGCAAAAGTATTATTCATTCTGTGAGCAATGCAAACAGTCAAAATTAGTAAGAATGCTCTTTTTGTTCAAAAATGCTTCAATACAGAAAGAAGTGTAACGTGGTTCAGAGGTAACACAAGTCACTGTTCCTACCAGCATTCCTACTCAACTGCAAAATCATATTTGATATTAACTGCAGGGCTTCCAAATTTCCCTATTTCATTTTCCCCTGTAGAAGGAAAAATGCTCCTTGTTTTAATCACTAAATCAAGCAACATGTAAAGGCTGCACACAAGTTACTTTAGAATGAAATGCCAGTATTTAATTAGAAATACATCGCTTGTGTGTTGCTTATTACTGCTACAACAGCAGCAGAGGCTTCCATCAAGTGTGGGGGTCCACTGCTATATGGGCTATTTATAGAGCTAATTACTTAGTCAGCTTTTCCTGACTAGTTTACAAGAGAGGAAGCAGCACTATCCCTACTTTTAGATGCAAAGTCAAGGTACAAAAACAGAGACTTACTCTGAGTGTGTATGAGAACTAAAGCACAAAGAAAACTAAAGAGACTATTTAGAAAGCTTACTTTTTATACTGAAGTTATTTAAAATAAGAAGGCATCATCACCTATACATAATAAAGTTTAAGAAACAGGTTCCATCAGAAGAGAAAGAAGACTTGGTGGAACCAGAGTGCAGTTTGGAATATGAGTGGGAAATCTTTCTTTAGACTATAGGTGAGTGTTTTTCACTAGAAATCTGAATCCCAGGACAGAATTGTTGGCTATTTCAAAATAATAGTTTCCTCACCACAACACAGTAGTTAAATGTACATATGTTCTCCTGATACGATTGCTTAATAACTTTGTGATAAAAGAGATTGTGATTTTCATGTTTAGTCCTAAAATTCTTCAGACAATAATCACCACACAGTGGGGTATTCTATGCTAGTTGCACTGAATTACCATGCACAGTCTTTGGACCACACAAGCAAAGTGTTATCTTTAAATGCAGACAGAAGCTGATGACAATGCACTCTGAGTTCTTATATGCTTCCTTTTCAGTCTTGCATCAGGGAGAGATCCACAAAATGTTTATCATTCTCATTCTCCAGTGATTTTAGTAGTAAGAAAAGACTTGCTTCTCTAATATTCAAAACGTTACAGGATTAAGCTTTACATTTGACAAGTTACATTAAGACATCCTAATGTTCTTTGTCATTGCATCAAATATATTTGATAATTCTGTATTCCCTAACATGTATCTGAATTTCAGTTTCACAAGGCACTTTAAGTAATTAGCCTGAACCTCTCCTGCCTCCATCTTAAGCAATGTGGAAATCAAAGTCCTGGCAATTACTTCCATTCAAGTATAATTTTAATTTGGCAGTACTTCATAACATAAGAGAATATTAACCAGAAATAGCTTTTTCCAGATGGATCAAGTCTGATGCCACTCTTCATTCTAAACACTTGAGCTTGTATTAAGACACCTTAAAAACATTAGAAAACACAGAAAAAAACCCACTCTTCCTAATACACCTTGCTATTTCCAGAGCTCTGCCCCATGTTACTGCTGTGAACAAGAGCAGCCTTTCTTTGGCAGTGAACATTATTCCAAGGCCATGCACAGCTCTCAAATATAAGCAATTTACTAGCTCTGCTCTGTAAACACTTGAATACACAATGTTTTAGGATGACAGTTGAAAATAAAACTGTTAAAACTGCATCCAAAAGCTAACATTAGGCCCAAAACCACACAGTAATTTGTGGCTAGTCTTAATGTAGAATATATTCCTACCTTCCCACATATATCTTGGGACTTCTCCCAGTAAACTTTAAAAACAATTGCTGAACTCCAGCATGCACATACCTTATTTCTCAGGCTTTAATTGCACCAAGCAACTTAGCCCACTTGGGATTCAGACCTCAAGGTTTACTCCTGTGACAGACCTTAAAAAAGATCTCCTGCCTGCCATTCCCACTCTCCATGAGACTGATTTGCAGCATAATGTCCCTCAGCCTCCAGAGAATTCTGGAAGAGCTAGATTTTTATTGGACACTCCTTTATAATTTGTAGTTTACAGCCCTCTGCCATGCTTCTCTTTGAATTCCTGAAAGAAATATTTGTAGTCCAAAGACACTGAAACAAATGTTTGGAAAAGTGCTGTTTCTATCCTCATGTTTAGCTCTTCACACTGCCATCCATACGCAGGAGCAGCTGGCAGCAGACATACGAATTCCTCATGCAAGCCCTGTCTTGACATTTTCTTCCTTCTCCCCTTCTCTGCCTAGTCTGAAGAAATCCACCTTTTTATGCAAGGGGAAAGAAACTAAAAGCAGAAAGAGATATCTGGGAACACCACAAGCTTCAAGTTTGTTTAGGACTTATGACAGAAGGTGATAAGACGGATGCAGAATTCAGGGATAAGTTGACACATGTACTATGTTAAAGACATTTTTTTGCAAACTTTTTGCCTGGAACATCAATATAAAGTTTATTTCTATAAATACCTTTCCACATCTCTGATGCAATGTGTGGAGCCATAGGTGCAACCATAATACAGAGTGAAGCCAAAGCATCTTCAAATTCTGTGCTGTGGAGAATAAGAGGGCGGGAAGCTTGCTAAGCAAAAGAGAGAAGGAAAAGAAAATGAATTGTTAATATTCTGAGGTGAGGGTTAATGTAGTTAATTAAGTAGAAAATGTACTTGTAGTACATTAAGTTAATTAAATAGAAAATGTACTAATGTAGTTTAATTAAGAAGAAAATGCAGGAGTAAAACCTACAATCAGTATCTATGCTTAGGACAATGTAATTTCACAATAAACTGGAAACTTTTGAAAAGTTCTGGAGCATTAAAATCACAACTCTTGGTCAATGAGCGTTCTCTAACACTTGGAAGCTAATCCTGAAGAGGCTGATGCAGATCCTTAGGGATCTACTCCAGTACTGGAGTCTGAACACAGACCCATGTGGCAGTGGAAAACATTCTGAGACCTGCCACTTCTAGAGGCGCAATCTTAGATAAAACCAGAGCTATCTGAGAAGAGGTGAAGTATAAGAGTCAAACTGTGCAGAATGCAGCATGGGATTTGTTGGGATAAGGTTCAATTGTACAGGATCCTCAAACAGCTTAGGTAAAGCTGAATTTAGTGACAAACTGAGGTTTTGGAGCCAAAGGAAGCTTTGGGAATGAACAGTGCAGCACAGCTTTTTACAATTTGATGTTCAGATTGCTTTGGTAAAGTGTTCAGCTTCTCTAGTATAGAACAGTTTCAATTTCTTGCAAATGGTGCTATACAGGCAAAATTTGAACTTCCATTCTCTTATTTATTTTGTCTTAAATGGAAAACATAAGCACTAAAAGTAGCCAGATGAATTTATTTTTTTCTTTGCCTGTTTGGGAGATTACCTCCCATGGTAAATTCAGATTCTGCATTTATTTTGTAATTTGCCCCTCTAATGAAACAGCACAGTAAACCATGTCAACTTAGGAGAATTATTTGGGGGGTGTGATGAACATCCATTGACATCTACTAGAAAACTGTCCAAAGCCAGTCATTTGTTTGACACAAACCACAAATGTCATCAGATGGCATCATCTTATCACTAAGACTAGTTTTAGTAAATATATTTAATCCTTATCCACCTCCCCACTTCCTCCTTTCAAATGGGAGTAAAAGAGGAAGTATCAGCGTGCTATATGGAAACTTGTTCTTGAACGATACTGCACTGACTTCTTTGGTTAAGAAATATGTCAGTGTTCAAACATCTGGCTGTCTGTAGGACGCTGTTTGTGTACACCAGCCCAAAATGCATACGAACATCTGAGCTGGAGGTAAGGAAATGTGTGCCACCTTCCCAACACTACACAGTGTCCCAGACTTAAGTTATCTCAGTACAGCCCTTGTGCACACCCTCAAATTCCTTGACTTTGCCAATAATCTCCTTGGAATCCATAAGGTATAAAATGGTATTTCAATAAAGAAGTTGGAAAAAAATCCAAGTTTTTATTTGATTTCTGGTTACCGTTATATACCTGAAGGATTGCCCAACCAGATTTAAGAGTAGTAACAAAAAATAACCATAATAGTTTATATCAAGCCTAGCGATTCTATGATTATATTTGACCTGTTGCCAATGGCTGATAAACAACATAATCTAAATAAAAATGCTAAAGACTTAAGTTATTTTTACATTTGTTTATAAAAAAGGGGAATCTGCAAACTCTGTTACTAGCAAGCAGTTCTAGTGGTGAAGCCTGGCTCTGAAAAAGGTAAGATAATGTGTGATCTTTGCAAAGAATAACCCTTTTCTTTAAATCAGAATGTTTGGTAGTTCTATAATGCATTACTATATGTAGCTGCATATGAAACTTGGTCAAAACCAAAACAGAACAAAGAACAGAGCTAAAAAAAAATGTATCCTTTTGAAATTACAGGATGCAGATGTGAACATCAGAAACTAGTGCCTCTGTTACCATCAAGCTCTTCCTGCAAACCCACGTATTTCAGGGTTCCAGTGACACCAGAACATGCTGCTTTTAAATTCAACAAGGCTCTCAACTTAGTGGCAATGTTTACGACAGTAAATGGCTTATGAAAAGCTGGAGATATAGTTCAGGTAGCTCCTGCTTTGTATTAAGACTTACAGGAACAGGGTCTAAGAGAAAAATACTTTCATTAATATCATGTACTTACCTGGAGTACATTGGTGAGGCTCATCAATCGGGAAATAGCTGCATTGAACAAATGATCCTTTGTGAAGTACTCTGTCACCTTGTAATTAGAAGAAAACGTCTATCACTAATTACATAAAATTCTCAAAAATGGCATATTGGGTTTTTAAATGAAAAAGAATTATTGATAATCAATTTAAGTTTGTGAAATATGCCTGTCTTATCTTTTACATGAAAATTACTTTGGCATGCAAACATAACATATATATGCAATCACGTGTGTATGGGAAAATAATAATCATCCAAAAATTCCACTAGACCAGGTTGCTCCAAGCCCTGTCCAGCCTGGCCTTGAACACTGCCAGGGATGGAGCATTCACAACTTCTTTGGGCAACCTGTGCCAGC